TAGGGTTGCTGCAGCCTCTCTTTTAAAAAAAAAAAAACAAAAACAAAATTAGTCATCCTGACCATCATTCTTATAAGAAGGGACTTCAGTAATGAGAACCTCACCTTGGTGGAGAGCACCTTTCTGTAACAAGCTTGTTGCAATTCCCAGTAGATAAAATAAGTAATCAAAAGACTGAGCAGGCAGGAGTCATAACCTGTCTCCCTCCTGCAGCACATGAAACACTGATAACCCCCAAAGGACACTGACCTTTTCAGGTGGGTTTACCGTTTAGTGCTTCCTTCTCTGTCACATTGTCCCTGGCTGCTGCTTTTGCTCCCTCTCATTTCTGTGCTTCATTTCACTTCCTGGTGCTCAACTTAAAGACTTTTGCCAGCTTCCTATTAACTTCCCTTATGTCCTGTTCCCTTCTCGGGCGAAGTGGGTTCTGCCGCGGACACTGCACTTTCCTCAGACCCTTGTTCCTCCCTCTCTCTCAACTGACATGGAATCTTTGGATGCCGGCATTCTGCACCTTCCCTTCTGAAAGGGCAACCCCCAAAGCGTTCTGCTGGCTGAGTAGCCGTTGATAGAGGAGAAAGGACCACCACTCTCTGAACCCTGTTCAATATGGCTCAGATGTTGTTAAGAGCTTGAAGGCAAACAGTGTGTTATTTAGGTTTGAACCTTTGAGGTCAATAGTAGTCTTAGTCTAAATTAGACATTGCTTCTTTTAGGTCAGTGGTAGGATTTATAATTATTAACATAACTTAGCCCCTGCCCAGCTTGGGAGCACAATAGGAGCTGTTACCTCTAGAAGAGATGGCAAGGTACAGTTCCAAGAACTGCTGTACCAACTCTGGTTTGTAAGAAAAGGGCAAAACAGTAAAGTTTATTGTGACAGGAATAGCAGAAGGCCAGTCAAGGCAGGGGAAAGCTGTCAAACATCCGTCTCCACCATGGAAGCTCAGTCTGCTGTTCTGATATTAGCAAATTGGGATAGTAGCCAGAAGCTCCTTTTTCTGCCCCTCCTTGCTCATGGTTCACATTGTAGTCAGTGATAGAGCCAGCTGCAGGAGCAACACACTTGGCTAGCAGATGTTTCCAGGAAGCATCTGCTAGCCAACCACACACCATATATGGCAGGGTTGCTTCAAAGCCCCCTGCCTGGAGATCCTCATTTGTTCTATAGTGCGACCAGTAGACCTTGTTAGTGAGGGTTGGGGTCGGGGAGGGGGGTGTGTGTGTGTTGAGAGCCAAAACACTTGAAGAGAGGGAAGTGGGAAAGGATTCCAGGGGACTGCAGAAATTTGGGGAGCTTCTTGTACAAGGCCGGTGTGTGCTCCCAGCATAAGGAGAAGGACAAAAGCCACTGGACATGGTGAGGGGAAAAGATAGGTGTTTGGGGCATGACACTCCTGTATTGCATAGGAGGTGGGTCTGGTTTGAATTAGTGCTGGAGGAGAGGTTTTCGTGTATAGGTACACTATTGGTTACTAAGCTAATCCCTGTTTGTAGCCTTGGCAAGTATAGTAGAACCTCAGAGTTATGAACACCAGAATTATGAACTGACTGATCAACCACATACCTCATTTGGAACCGGAAGTATGCAATCAGGCAGTAGCAGAGACAACAACAACAAAAGCAAATACAGTACAATACTGTGTTAAACATAAATTGCTAAAAATAAAGGGAAAGTTTTTAAAAAAAGATTTGACGGCAAAGAAACTATTTGTTTGTTTTACTTAAATTAAAATGGTTAAAAGTAGCATTTTTCTTCAGCATAGTAAGGTTTCAAAGCTGTATTAAGTCAGCGTTCAGTTGTAAACTTTTGAAAGAACAACCATATCGTTTTGTTCAGAGTTAGAAGTTATGAACATCCTCCGTTCCCGAGCTGTTTGAAACTCTGAGTTTCTATAGTAGTGCTGTTCCGTATGCAACTTTCTCGTTGATTTATTTAGGCTGCTGAGTTAGGGTTTGCTGCAGCCTCAGTCTTTTGTTGTTTGTTTGCCTTGCTTTTCCAACAGATAATAAAAGTGAATAATAGAATGATTATTTTTTAATTAATGCAGAACAGGAAACGACTATGCTTCTCTTGCCATAGAGATTTACCCACATTTTTTTTCAGTTCTTCTTATATTGTTTACTGCACCTTTGGCTGGAATAGATACTGTCTGTACATCTCGATAGTTGTCTGTTTTTAGAATAATCATCTATATATTTTTCACAGTATTTCAGCAACCAAGGATTCTCTTAAAATGATAATACAAAATTATGGGGCTAACTAGATAGAGGAGGAGAGCTGCGTGTGATATGACTGTTAGGGGAGGGTGGTGCATTGCATTGCTTGGCAGAAATTCTTCTAGTCTCTTAAGTTGTGATGTTGAAAGACGGGAGGAGGTTAAAACTTGTCCTTTTGGCAGAAAGGATTGTATCTAATGCAGGATAAACTGTAAAAGGTTAAAGGTGGGTGGGGGAGTCTGATTATTGGATCTGCCTTTTTTTCCTCCCTGCTCCCTAAAGCCTTAAAATCATAAAGAGGGTTTGCTTCTGGGAATAGTAGATATGCTTTTTCATGGAAACTTCCAAGTAGTTCGTAGTATTTCTACTAAGGACAAAAATACAAGTTCGATTTTTGTGTAAAATATTCTCTAAAATTGACATTGCAAGGCAGTTTAGGTCAAAAATGTAGGTTTCATTATTGGGTAGGAGGCTTACAAAATCGAATAAAACTATTTCTACTAGGGCTGTCAATTAATAGCGATTAACTCAAAACAAATTAACTCGATTAAAAAAAACCTCGATTAATCATAGTTTTAATCGCACTGTTAATAGAATACCAAATTAAATTTATTATAAATATTTTGGATGTTTTTCTACATTTTCAAATATGTTGATCGCCATTACAACACAATACGAAATGTACAGTGCTCACTTTATATTATTTTTATTACAAATATTTGCACTGTAAAAATAAAAGAAATAGCATTTTTCAGTTCACCTCATACAAGTACTGTAGTACGGTCTCTTTATTGTGAAAGTGCAACTTACAAATATAGAAAATTTTTTGTTACATAACTGCACTCAAAAATAAAACAATGTAAAACTTTAGAGCCTACAGGTCCACTCAGTACTATTTCTTGTTCAGCCAATTGCTAAGACAAACAAGTTTTTTTGTTATTTACAGGAGATAATGCTGCCCTCTTCTTATTAACAGTGTCACCTGAAAGTGAGAACAGGCGTTCACGTGGCACTTTTGTAGCTGGCGTTGCAAGGTATTTACATGTCAGATATGCTAAACATTCGTACGCCCCTTCATGCTTCAGCCACCGTTCCAGAGGACATGCTTCCATGCTAATGATACTCATTTTAAAAAAGAATGTGTTAATTAAATTTGTGACTGAACTCCTTGGGGAGAATTGTATGTTTCCTGCTCCATGGTTTTACCCTCATTCTGCCATATATTTCATATTATGGTAGTCTTGGGTAATGACCCAGCATATCTTGTTCGCTTTAAGAACACTTTCATTGCAGATTTGACAAAACCCGAAGAAGGTACCATATGAGATGTCTAAAAATAGCTACAGCACTCAACCCAAGGTTTAAGAATCTGAAGTGCTTTCCAAAATCTGAGAGGGACGAAATGTAGAACATGCGGTCAGAAGTTTTAAAAGAGCAACACTCCAATTCAGAAACTATAGAACTTGAACCACCAAAAAAGAAAATCAACCTACTATTGGTGGCATCTGACTGAGATGATGAAAATGAACATGTGTCAGTCCGCACTGCTTTGGATGTTATCGAGCAGAATCCATCATCAGCATGGACGCATGTCCTCTGGAAAGGTGGTCGAAACATGAAGTGGCATACAAATGTTTGGCATACAAATGTTTAGCATATCTGGCACGTAAATACCTTGCAATGCTGGCTATAACAGTGCCATGCAAACACCTGTTCTCACTTTCAGGTGACGTAAATAAGAAGTAGGCAGCATTATTGCCGGTAAATTTAAATAAATTTTATTTGTCTTGGCGATTGGCTGAACAAGAAGTAGGCTCTGAAGTTTTACATTGTTTTATTTTTGAGTGCAGTTACGGAAAAAAAAAATTCTACATTCTACTTGCACTTTTCATGATAGAGATTGCATTATAGTACTTGTATGAGGTGAATTGAAAAATACTATTTCTTTTGCTTATATTTTTAAAGTGCAAATATTTGTAATAAAAAATATAAGGTGAGCACTGTATACTTTGATTTCAATTACAACACAAAATACAATGTATTTGAAAATGTAGAAAACATCAAAAATATTTAAATAAGTGGTGTTCTATTATTAACAGTGCAATTAATTTTTTTAATCATTTGACAGCCCTGTTTTCTATAAAAAAAAAAAAAAAATTAAGTGAAAAGATGAGCATTGCCCTGCAGTGCTTGCATCCAAACAGTCTGTAGTTGCTGGTGGTATGGGAATCAGAAAGTGAAACTGACTAAAGGAGATCAGAATAGTTTCATTATTCTAGATGAGCAAGCTGGAAAACATCAACAGCATAAATAATGAAAAGTAAACTAGCATTTAAGTAATTACGTTAATCTACTGTAGTGGTAATAGCACAGGTAAGGAGGAATTTGAGTATATGATTTTTAAACTGATAAGATATGTTTTAACTATCAGGAATTCAAATGAATACACACACATGTAAGCATTATGAATGTTAACCTGAATTCTTAATATTGCATTTTGAAAAAGCTCTATTTTGTTTCTAATGATAGAGTAATTTATGTAGTCTTTTCATTTGTAGGACTTGACTTTATGATATATTTAGGCAGTCGCTGACTTACAAAGGTGTATATTTTGAAGTTCTGAATCAGCTACTGCTGTACATGTGGGTTATGTTGCATGTATGTCAGTAGCATACCAGCCTCTGGTACAATATAGTATTGAATGTAATGCATGCTTGTTTTAGCATATATGATCTGTATATCGTATTTCAAATGTTTTTCCTTTTTTTGTTTTTGCTCAGACAGGGGATTTGTCTTCTGTACAATTAGCAGGAACTCCAAATAGATGGGAGGTTTTGTCTGCAGCTCCTACCACTATAAAGGATGAAGCTGGTAATATAGTACAGATTCCAGGTGCTGCCACAGTAACTTCAAGTGGACAGTATGTCCTTCCCATTCAGAGTTTGCAAAATCAACAAATATTTTCTGTTGCACCAGGATCAGATTCATCAAATGGTACAGTGTCTAACGTACAATATCAAGTAATACCCCAGATCCAGACGGCCGATGGTCAGCAGGTTCAGCTTGGCTTTGCAACCTCTTCTGATAATGGTGGTATAAATCAAGAAACTGGTCAAATTCAGATCATTCCTGGCTCTAATCAAACCATAATTGCCTCTGGAACACCTTCAGCAAATATTCAGAATCTCTTATCACAGACTGGTCAAGTTCAGGTTCAGGGAGTTGCAATTGGTGGTTCTTCCTTTCCTGGCCAAGCACAAGTAGTTGCTAATGTCCCTCTTGGACTACCAGGAAATATTACTTTTGTACCCATCAATAGTGTTGATCTAGATTCTCTGGGACTCAACAGTGGTTCTCAAACCATGACTGCAGGCATTAATGCAGATGGACATTTGATAAATACTGGACAGGCCATGGATAGTTCAGACACTTCTGAAAGGACTGGTGAACAAGTTTCTCCTGAAATTACAGAAACTACCACTGATAATGACTTATTTGTGCCAACATCATCTTCATCACAACTGCCTGTTACCATAGACAGTACAAGTATATTGGAACAAAATGCAAACAGCTTGACCACAAATAGTGGGCAAGTACACAGTTCTGACCTTCAGGGAAATTACATCCAGACATCAGTCTCTGATGACACACAGGCTCAGAATATTCAGGTCTCCACAGCACAGCCTATTGTACAACACATACAGCTTCAGGAGTCTCAGCAACCAACCAGTCAAGCCCAAATTGTACAAGGTATTGCGCAACAGACAATCCATGGTGTGCAAGCAAGTCAAGGTATATCGCAACAGGCTCTACAAAATCTTCAGCTGCAGCTCAATCCTGGAACTTTTTTAATTCAGGCACAAACAGTGACCCCTTCTGGGCAGATCACTTGGCAGACATTTCAGGTGCAAGGTGTCCAAAACTTGCAAAACTTGCAGATTCAGAATGCACCTGGTCAACAAATAACTCTAACACCTGTGCAGACTCTTACTCTTGGTCAAGTTGCAGCAGGTGGGGCCTTGACTTCAACTCCAGTTAGTCTGAGTACTGCTCAATTGCCAAATCTGCAGACAGTTACAGTAAACTCTATAGATTCTGCTGGTATTCAGCTGCACCCAGGAGAAAATGCTGACAGTCCTGCAGGTATTTATCTTACTCTAACTCTTTGTGAAAAATGGCTTTTTTTTGTTTTTGTTTTTTACTGTGTGTAGTTTGTTGAACAATGATAATCATAACTACATTGTTTTGCTGAGGATGCATACAAGATACAGTTAGCTGATCAAGCTATACTAGTACTTTGAACAACTGATTCGCAAGAAACTATTGTTGCAGAACGTAGTCAAATATACTCTCTAAAATGTAAGTTACTGTGATTTTTCAACTATTCAAATTAAAGTAGTCAACATTAGCACCTTCTAAAATGGTGTCTCTATGCTTCTAAGTTTTCTGAAGCAGAGGACCTCTCTTCTAAATTGCGGGGAATCTGACCATCAGATTTACAGGGCAGCAGTGCCATTACCTTATCTCCCTCCTAGCAGGGACCCTCATCATATAGTCTATCAAGTTTTATAGGAAAAATCCAAATGCTTCTGAGGATACCACTCCTACTTGTCTGAAAACATTCATGGACCCCAAGGTGTCATGTATCAGAGGTTGAGAACCTCTGCCATTATTGATCTACCATTTTGTTAATCATGTTTCCTACCAATTTAATTTGAACAAAACTATGGTTACAGAACTTGTACAAGTAGAAGTGAAACAAATGCACAAACATCTACATGGTAGCTATGTTTAAGAATGAGTGACTTTACTTTCCAGTTCAACTTGTTTGCACAATGTTTATTAGACATACCGCTTATAAGTTTATTATAACTTACCGCTTGTAAGTTATAAACTGCTAACTGCTTGTAAGATGATGCTTGTAGATATCAAAAGTTAGAATGTTTGACATTTATCTCCATAGGTAAGATAAGAATTGTAATTATTTCAGAAAAATGTCTTTCCAACAATGAATTAAAAATCCAAACTTGAAGACCATTTACTCTTAGCCTATGTGATTTAAGATAATCATGTTAATTAAGGCTCTGATTCAGCATGGTACTTAAGCACACATGTTAACTTTAAGTGCATGAGTAGGTCCAATTAAATCAATTGGACTTCTCATGGGCTTAAAGGTAAATGTGTGCTTAAGTTCTATGCTGAATCAGGGCCCACGTGTCAAAGACTTGGTAGTTTTGGGCTTGAATGGTTATTACTATTGTGTATCCAGCAATTTTGCTTTCCATTCAGAATCCAAAATTTCATTCTAAAATAATAAACCATAATGCTTTCTTCTAATTCTTGTCCTTGTGAAGATGGCCTCAGATTCATGTGCTGTTGCACCATTAAGTTATTAAGGAAAATTGTCTAGACCAACAATAGCCGAGTAAAATATAGCCTCCATCCATGATCTTATATTACATAGAAATATAAATTTCTAACGGGGATCAGAACTGCTTTATTTCTGTAAAGTTTTACATTTGGTACAGGATCATGTAGACTCTGCTGATGCTTCTGGAATAGTACTAGAAACATGATCCTGGGTGAGAGAGAAGAGATGAGAAGGGAAAGCATACAGAAACCAAAAGAGAAAAGTATGCACACAAGGAGTGAAAAATGAAGACTGTCATGGTATAGTGCCAGTGTCAGTTAGTTTGGCCCCTTGCTTTCTGGGCCATTTCAGGAGGGGAATGGCTTGCATCACAAAGTTTGAATGCCTTCTGAATGGCTGCAGGGACAACCCATCAAGCCTTCCCTGACAGAGTATTTCTGGTATGGCCAGGGAAGGGAGATAAGTAAAGGGGGCAATGTGGACAAAGTTCACAGAAATAATGGATTACGGGAGAAGGAAATTGTATGTAAACCGGTGGATCAGCAAAATTTGATTATAATTGAGACTGAGTGGAGATTATAGTTGAGGTTTTCGCTGTCTTTCTGATAATGGTAAATGGGCTAGTAGTTTTTTTTCCCCCAAATCCCTTCCCTAAACTTTTTGGGAACTTAATCTGTCCCTCCTGCACATATCACACCACTCCTTTCCCCCAAAATCACAAATAAAAAAATTTAAATCCATTTTATTTGGTGCATGTCTCCACAGAAACTTTCAACATAGAGTTTCTTCAAACCAGTAGAATCAGATTGAATATTCACCTCCAATATTTCAGATTTACCGCACACATCTGATACTGTGTATTAAAATGGCTAAACTCCGTCTCCATTCACCACAGCCTTCTGCTGTAGTATAGTGTTCCATTCCTCCCTTTTTATTTATAACTCTTTGTAGCTTTTGCAATATCATAGATTTCCTCTATTTTAGAGGATATGCATAAAAAATAGGTATGGGGAATAATCACTAGGATTGGAGAAGAAATTATGCTTTTCAGGCCTGAAAAAGGGAGAAAAAAAGCTTAGTTTTTTTTTTTTTTTTTTTTTTAATGAAAGGGGAAGAGATGAGGAGTGAATAATAGAACAAGAGAAGGTAAATCAATAAGATACATGTGACAGGTTATTTTATTTTGGGCTGTAGGAAGGATCCCTCTTCACCACATATGAGGAGGATTGCAAAATTTTAAGGTGAGGTGAGGGGAAATGTTTTCTTTGCATTTCTTTATTTTACTAGACAAACTGAAGCACTAAAGCTCCTCCTTTCACAGAAGGCATAATTAGGTTGTATTCTGCTTATACTCTTTAAAGTTTTCCCTTGGGGTTGATAGCCCTAGGAAAAATGAAATCTGCTTATGCTTTGTCTCAGGCTGGAACTGATTGGTGTGTGTGAAGTTTGAATAAAATCATGTGAGCTGTTACGCAGTTGTGAAGTATGTAGGTCAATTAGAACTTCGTCCCTTCAACCTTGATTTACTGTTAAGAGGTGCTCTTCTCTACCTTGGTTTCAAGGTAATCTGAAGAGGACATCTTTACTGCTGAGAGATTTAGTCAGCATGAGACAAGAATGCCTCATGAGTAAACAAAGTGGTGAATCAAAAGGAAAAACAATCAGGTACTGCAAAATAAGTTAAGTCCAGTGAGAAAGGGACCATTTGTCGCTTTACTTGAAAAATAGGTTGTTACTGCTTTTAGTTCTAACTGTGTGTACAATACCTTACATATATGCAGAACCTTCCATTATACTGAATCAATTCTGAAGGAAAGTCTTCATCTTAAATTAGTTAACATTCTGTTTTGGGATGCTTACAAGAGCTCATGTTACCCCCTGCTATGCTTGTTATTGTCCGGAGTGGGGAAAAGCAATTAGTAGATAGTCAGGTCTGAAGCTATCTAGATCTGAGGAGTGCAGAACAAAATACAGCAAATTTCCAAAATGTCAAATACTGTCAAAAAGGTAGTTTGCTCACCTAGGTTCTGGGTTCAGATCCTGATGCTCTTACTAGAAATTAACCATAAGGAAAGATCTCTAGCAGCTTTCTCCTTTTACCTGCACTTATCCAGGAGCGCCACCAGCTTTTCCCCCGCCTAGGGCAGCAGAAGGTCCCGCCCCGAAATGTCACCCCCCACAGAGGCAGCGGAAGGGCCTGCCGCCGAAATACCACCGCGGTTGCCGCCCCCCAAATTGTAGCGCCCTAGGCGACCACCTAGGTCGCCTAATGGGTTGCGCCGGCCCTGCACTTATCAATGACATATTGCATGCCTGCTGTAAAAACGAGAGGCTAGGTGCACATGACTCGTATTTGAAGGCTACATTACTGCTTAGCTGTCCCCCAAAAATATTCAGTTTCAGTTACATAATATAATTTCTCCTTATCCAAATGTAGACTTTAGTTGTTGCATTGCTTTAGGAGACACTTAAACTTAAAAAAAAAAAAAAATGACAATGTACGTTAGCTCCTCTGAAGACATTTCTCTAGATAATTGATGAGTTGCATAGAATCTAATTTTAAAGGCTTCTCAAATTAGTTTATTGTTAACTATTGAATCCCACTTAAGGGTGGTTACTCCCCATAGCAAATATAACTTGATCAGTTCTGATCAGGGTTTCTTCATTAGAAGCTGGATTTAGTTTTATGATGGTACAGTACTTTTGGTTCCCAAAAGTAATGTGAAGAAAACTGATAAAGCAGTTGGAATAGTAGTGGCTCTAGCCAAGGGAATGTGCACATCTGGGTTGATATTGCACATCTGTCAGGTTCAGCTTATATTTAAAAAAAAATCCCAGAAGTGAAGGTCTATAAACATTTTGCTGACTATATCCAAATATAATTCCAGCTATAATTCCAAAGTAAATTATATAATGTAAAGCTTGTTTAATATAAGATCTCTTGAGGAAGGAGTTCTCTCAGTCCCAGTCCTTTTTTCTCCCAACAGTGTCTTTCTGTAGAGCTATATAAACAGCTGCTCAGAGAATTAGGTACCTGCTGCCAGTGAAGCTCATCATCATTCATACCTGATAATCAACTCATGCTGGTTATTAGAGAGCAGGAGAGGTGGTCTGTTCATGAAAGAGATTTAATCCTATCCATGCCAGAGCCTTAGCTCCTTATCACACTGACATAAATGTAGCATAATGTAGCCAAATTTAAAATTACCTTAAAAGGGCCAAATAGTTTTCTGGATAAATACTTGCCCAAGTGACAAACTTTAATATCTTGCCAGGTATCTTTCACCTCCAAGAGAACTACACCACATTATTAATATAAAACTTTTCTGGCATCTTTCTTGCGTAAACTGGCTGAAACAAATAAGAAGTTGAGGGCTAACATATGAAATGTGGTTTTCAAAAAACCAAAAATTTTAACATCTTGGTAATGACTAAAGAACAGAATACACACATTTGTAGCCCTCAGGTTAGTTCTCAGAAAACTTTAGTATTTCTGGTGAAATACTGTGAACCATTGTTTATAAAGGAACTGTCGGTATGAATTTTTGAACTTGACTCATTTCACATCAGCAGTTTTCTGCTCCCATGTTATTTAGAAAAAATTTGTGTATGGGCCTCAGATCAGCAACGCCAAACATGCTTAGGCCTTTCTGTTTATGCTCCTGCTTGCTGCCTAATAAGTTTTACTTTCAGCTTTGCTGCTTCTATTACTAAGAGCCACCTTGACAAGTTAGAACTTGTTCCAGGGGCCTCTGGTTGTCTTGGGTAACTT